TGTATTCAGCTTCTGTTCGTATAAGAGCTACAAAAATATGCCTATATCCATACAGTTTTAAGCATATAATTAACGTTGTTGGCACGGATAAGGCAAGTGTTACAAAAGTTAGAGCTGTTAGACAGATCATAAAACATATGGCAGACATGTCATAACATATATGCTTGAGATTCTACCCTACATCGTATGCCCACGAAATGAAAAATGCGAGAGACACACGTTGACTGCTATTTGAGACACAAATTGAAGCACTATACTAACGTGAACAATTCGTGATTATTAAATCTTATGTATGCACTAATATGTACAGGTGGATCAAACCGTTGCAAGCATACCAACTACACGCAGACCGTCATTGTGCTCGTTGGTTCCGGATTCGGTGTCTGTGCCCCATTCCTCTCCGGAGGCTATCGCATCATCCTCGAGCGCATCCTCATCTTCGTCCACAAACTGAGCGTATTTTCGTTGCAGTTTCTGTAGCAGCCGATTAATGTGCGTAGTAAGTTAGAAATTAGAAGGTCAAGGATTTTCATGCGCAGCATGGTTGTGAGATAGAACTGGAATGTATATATGTGCAAAGTATGGGTTGTATGGGTTGTGCAGAGCCACCAAAACTGAGCTCATTTTGATGGATATCTGATGATGGACCACATTATGTCTAATATGTTTAGGCTGGTCGTGCTGACCAGTCCACAATATACAGCGCACGTCAAATAGGGCAGACTTGAGGGAAGTATGGAACTGAGTAACTGAGTTGTACGTCAATTATCTGTACCTTTCTGATTAAAGCATTTCTTATCGATGACAAGAGGGATAGAGCGCACGACGGAGAATAAACTAGGATTTAAGCTTGCTACAGTTAGCAATGCCGCGCAACATCGCCTTTGCAAGACACGCAAAAAGCTCGGTATTAGTGAGCGAGCGAAACATCCAATCCCTTTCCAAAGATACAGAGAAACCAGTTGCAGCCTTGATCTCCAACGAGGCTCCGGATATAAGCACACAATAAAAATACAGTTTTGTCACATTCACATTTGATATGCAGAGAACACGAGCACCATAGATAAAAGCCATTTCCCATATGACTACGCTGTCAACATGCCAAATCATTACAATTAATGACCAATCAACAATCTTGTGACCCCAAGTGTTTTCACTTTAGTATTTTAAAATTGGAAATTGGCACAACACTAAAAAAAAATGTTCGACTTTGGATGATAAATTGGTGTTTGTACGTACCGGGAGGGTGTGCCAGAAGATGGGATAGCTGATAGCGAATACTATGGCGGATATGGGGATTAAAAGCAAGAGCCAACCGAACACGGCGCATCCGAAATAACCAGCAAATTTGCCTAGAGTCGCGAAGAAATCCTGTGCGCATCAGAAACAGTGAGTATAAGTGAGGCTGCTAATAGCCGTAACATACGCAATTGATGTGTACATCCATGTGTATGGATACATACATGAAGCTTAAATTTTTTCACAATGCACGCGTGTATGCATGAGAACGTGCTCATTTGGCGTATTTAGTCAAAATTACGAACAACTATCAAATGTTGTCGGAGCAGACAAAGACACATGGAGTCGTAAGAAGTGTACTAAACTACACTCTAGTATATACATATTGAATGGCACAAAGTTGCGGGTAATTCACCACTGGCGATATGACATACTAGGGCTGTTAAATTTTATAATGGATGCACAGACGCTGTGAAACTATGTGTAAATACTCAATACTCAATACAGGAATGGGAAGTAAGTAAGTGTAAAATTGCGGCCAGCCCAGTCTATCTGGGACGCATAGGAATAGAATTGATGTGACCCTGAACAACATCAACACAATAAACAGTCTCCCCATATCCAGTGAGTACTTGTCATCCCTACTGGGAGGAGGGACTGGTCGTGCATTCGCACACCAGCACGGTGACATACGAGTCACTGCAAACGTTTCCGGAGCATGGCAGAGCATTAAGGCTTCACACAGTATCACTCACTAAATATGCACATAGCGAACATTGTGTGATGTTCTCATGGGAACACAGGGGTGTAAGTATGACTTCTCTTACCTATCGTTGCCTGCTGCGCAATATAAACCGCCCGCTTTGTGAACCTAAACATAATAGTTGCTATCGCAATTGGATAACCACTCTGATAAAACAAAACAAAACTAAACAAGTACATGTTAAAATGTTCATTCAAACGCCATATATTCCTTAACAACTTAACTTTCATCGTAATATGTAACATTTACACGGCCATCAGTATCTCAGTAACTCGCGCGGCATTTGTTACTACAGAGCACCAATTAAGGCCACGGCAGGCGCACAGGACCAGACAGTAGCTTAGACCCCACCGCGCGCCCATACAGAGATACTAAAAGCCAAGTATGTTACAAACAAGAAGACAGCATTACTCAAGCATAACCCACCTCTTTGAGTTGGTCGACAATCTCGCTGATATTTATATCAAGCGGTGTTTGCCGTAATACGAAGTAGCCAAACTTCGCAAACAACGGGATGCAAATAATCTCCACCGCGGTCAGCAGCAGATTGATGACTTGTATTATAATTTTATTCAGCCCGAACATGAAGGACGCTAATAAGCAGGCCAGTGCGGTGGCTCCTGGGATTGGGAACTGTGCGAGCGATGTGGATAGTTACAGTAGACGAAGGAGGGTGCTGCTTATTGTTCCTAGTGGCACAAATATAATTTCTAGTGTCTCCATTGGTTCAATAATTCAACTTTAAACGTGAGTGTATTCAGATGCATATCAATACATTGATAAACGCTAAACTATCTACAAAACAGCGAGGACCATGAAAAATGACTGTCTATCTTTTGTAGATGGCCGGAAACAAAGTCCGATGCACATTCACATCAAACTCGACAAAAACTAGCATATACATAAATAGAAGTATATATACATACATACATACATACATATATATATATATATATATATATAACACACACACACACACACACACATATATATATATATATCAATATATATATCCAAATATATATACATAAACATTAATGATATTTATACGTACATACGTACATACGTAAATACATATATACATACATACATACATATATATGTTTATATA